ATGTGCCTGGTGTCTGTAGCACCCAGAAGTGAGATCTCCCTGGGAATCCAGACATTTCCCGGGCTGCAGCTTCAGGTTTGCACCCAGCAGGGAGAAAAGGCTGGGAAGGAAGGTGTGAATCCATGAGGAGGGTGAAAGTTTAGGGAGAATTCTCATTTCTTCTCATTTCATGTGGGATTTAAAGGACTTAGAGACTCCCAGAGCTGACTGAAACCAACAGTTCCCACCACCTAGAGGAAAAGCTGGATTTTTGGGCTGGATTTTTGGGCTGGTCCTGCCAGGCAGATGCAGCAGAGCAGGGCCTGGATTTGGGATTTCCTATTGTATTTCAGCTGTGGCCATCAGGTGGCAATCTGACCACTGGGATCATTCTGTGCTGGAGGCACTTTGGGGTGGGTTCTCCTTGGGCTTTCCAAGGTCCTTTGTGATTTAGGGTGGTGTCTGCCAAGCTCTGGGCTGTGCCTGCTGTCAGCTGCTGCCCTGTGCAGGGCACAGAGGGATGGGCAGCCAGGCTCCTGCAGAATTCCTAATAGATTAAGGCAGGATGGAGGGCAGATATTCCTCAGGATTCACCTAAATTGAGGTGAGATGAGCAGCACAACACCCTGAGGTGATGAACCCTGTCAGCAGTAGCTAAGCACATCATTAATGGGAATATTTCCTTCTTGGTTGGGCAGGGCTGGGTTTTGATCATCTGATCCAGCTCTTCTGGCCTACAAAGGAGTTAGAAAAATGACTTTATTTTTGTCCTGAGTCCATAGAAATGGTGACAGAATCACCTCAGAGTTAGAAATGAAGGTGATTTTGTTCACTGGAGGTGCGAAATAAAGAATCATGGAATCAGGGAATTCCTTGGGTTGGAGTGACCTTAAAAATGATCCAGTTCCAACCCCACTGCCATGAGCAGCTCCCACTAGACCAGGCTGCTCAGTGCCCCTCAAGATATTCCTCAAAGTGCTCAAATTTTACCTGCCTCCTCACCAGCCATTATATCAGGAATTGTTTGATTTGGTTTGGTTTGATTGGTTTGTTTTCTTCCCTGGGGAATGTTTCTAAAGGGACATTACAGTGCAGGAACCTCAGGACATCCAAGGACCTGTAAAGGTGGTGGTGATGCCCTTCTTTGGGCTGGAAAAGATGTTTGAGATCACCCCACTGCTCTTTCTGTAGAGCCAGAAAATGGAAACAAATCCCCGGCCTAATGAATATTTCCCTGATAATATTATTATTTATTATTATTATTATTATTATTACCACTTAACAAGCAGTTCCAGACAGTACTGAGGTTTTAATACTCACAGCTACAAATGAGCTGCAAAGTTTGGATAATGATGTAAAAACCCTTCCAACACCCAGTTAATCCCTAAGGAAAAAGCACCTGTTGGTCTGTGCCTGTGTGGTTCCATTCTTAGCTACAAAGTCAAAGTTCTCTGTGAATATTTGTATTTTCGACTTTTCTGCTTGGATATTTCCTTTGGGCCTGAGGCTCCAGGTTCTGAGGCAAAGTGTGAGTTCAGGGGGTGCCTGGCATTCTCCTCCTTGCTTAGAAAATAAAAATAACTGGGTTTCACACAAATGTTGAATTATCCAGGCCAGTGAAACTCAAGATTGTTCTGGTGATCAGGCACTGCAATTAATTCTTGGGATGTTCTTTAAACGTTCCCAGTGAAGAAGTCAAAGAAGCTCTTTGCAATCTGTGAGTGTAAAAAACGCTCTGTCATTTTAGATAATTGGGTATTTCCACAGCAGAATCAGATATCTAACAACAACAACAATAATTAAACCAGGAATAATGACAATAATGATAATAAAAATAATAATAAACACATTAAACCCCAAACACAACAAACCCACCCCAAAACCTAACGCATTATTTCCCCTACCACCATTTCCTTTAACACCAGCCTTGCTTTTGCTTTCATTACAGCTGCTAAATAGATTATTCATGAGGTCTCTCACCACCACTAAACCATCCCTCTCATTGTTGCCAGCCCCTCATTGGTGTCACACAGATTTTCAGCGTCTGCCCATATCTGATTATCTGTGGAAACAACCTTTCAATGAGCCTTTTTATCGCGTCGTTTCGCCGGGGAGCTTTCAGGGACTAATTTTAGTTTCATGACAATAACAATAAGGTCAAGTTGTATTTCTGTGCTGCTTTTCACCCAGGCAGACATTCCAGAGGGGCAGATGTGGGACGGAGTGGTTGTCACTGTTGTCACCACGGAGTGGCCACGTCTGGCTCTCCACGCCCCCGGCTGAGTTGGGATGGAGCTCAGGAGAGCTGTTCTTCCTGGAAAACGAGATGTTCTCTGCTTTTTTTTTTCTTTTTTTTGAATGTGTTTTTTTAACTTAACCAGTTGTGGAATATTTGGGGTGAAGCTGAGAGGAGCCCTGCAGGGCAGAAGGGGTTCAGCGGGAGCAATCTAGAAAATTCTGTGGAATAATCAAAACTGAACCCCAGCTGTTGGATTTGTCCCAAATCCCTGGAATAAACACAACTGTGGAGAAGATCAGCTCCCTCTCCTGTGGGGCTCAGCCTGGAGAAAAGGAGACTCAGGGGGGACCTTTTTCTCCACAGTTCCCTGAGAGGAGGGGACAGCCCCTGGTCGGGCTCTGCTCCAGGGGTCAGGGACAGGAGCAGCCTCAGGCTGGGCTAGGGAAGGCTCAGGCTGGAAATCAGGAGGAATTTCCCCATGGAAAGGGTGCTCAGGCCTTGACAGGGGCTGCCCAGGGATGTGCTGGTGTCACCATCCCTGGAGGTGTCCAAGGAATGCCTGGAGGTGGCACTCAGTGCCCTGGGCTGGTGACAAGGTGGCATCAGTCACAGCTTGCACTTGATGACCCTGGAGGTCTTTTCCAGCCTCAGTGATTCTGGGATTCTGTGAAATCCACCTGGTAGTGCACAAAAAAAGTTCCAGGTTTGGATTTTCCCTGGCTGTTAATCAATGCTGGGTACAATTTGTTGAACTCAGCACTGGGTTGTGCTGAGGAACCCAACGTTCCCACACCTGCCTGGCTGGGATTCAGCTCCCACAGATGCCACCTGGAATCTCTGGTATCAGACCTATCGTGAGCTGAAATTGTTGTTTCATTGTCATTTCGTGCCTCTTGCCAGTCTCTGGTCATTTAACAACTGAAAAAACACATTTACCTATCTTTTGATGATTCCTCTTGAAGTATGAGGTCAGTCACAAAAAGGACCAGCTTCACTGTTAATTAAAATTTAATCAGAACTGCCCTGCTTGTCCTATAGAATAAATTAAATTAACCACATTTAGTAGTAAGGTTTATACTTTACTTGTATCCTCTGGAAATTTTCACAGGTTGTGCTCCAATAAACCCAGTTTTGCTCTTCAACTCAGTTGGAATTCCTGTTCCTTAAGTGCAAAAGAGGCTAATCATAGAGCAGAAAATAATTTGACTTGCTAATACTGGGTGAGAAAACATTTACTGCAACCACAAATATTTTCAGGATGATGGAGTATCTCATGTTCATGAAAGCTTGGTTCTGGTGACATGTTTGAGTAGGGAGGGCTGCACTTTCTAGCAGAGGAAACCCATGTCAGCTGCAGCAGGCAGCTCCCTGTTCTCCTCCAAAAGCTGCAGCAAAAAAAAAATGTTGGCAGAGGAATCAAAATCCTCCTCTTTAGTCGAGTCTGCCACCAGGTTTCTTAGGCATGAACTCCGGAAAATCTTTATTAGGCATAAAAAAAAAAAAAAGAAATAGAGGGGGAGATGTGCCTTGCAGACAGAAGGTGCATTCTGAGGTTAGCAAAGAGATGAATTATAAATACCTCAAGTCGAGCCGTGCTTTTCCAGCTATTCTTCCCTGATGGTGCCTAGCTGGGAGGCAGTGAAAAGTGTCATTTTGGTGGGGTGCTGCTCCCCCCTGGTGACATCAGTGGCCAGGCATTAGCTGTGCCCACAAAGCGGCGGTTGTTGGGTTTCTTATCGTGGTGGGAGCTGCTGAGCACAGCCCCTGCTGCCTCGTGGCTCGTGGAGACAGGGCAAATCTGCTCCCAAAATACTCCGGCTACTTCTGTTGGGTGAGAAATTGTGTTTTTCTTTTCCCTCTTTCATGTTTTACTCCCCCACCACCACGGTTTTTTGCTTTTTGGATGAGAAAGCTCAGTTTTCGTTACATGAATGGCCTTGCTTAGAAATTGATTCCCCTTGGAAAAATCCCCAAACTTTGTTGCCTTCTGTGTGTCCAGGGTTTTCATTTGAGGGCAAGGGGGAATTGGCTTCAAACTGACCGAGAATAGGGCTGGATTAGAGATTAGCAAGGAATTCTTTCCTGGGAGGGTGGTGAGGCCCTGGCACAGGGTGCCCAGAGAAGATGTGATCCCTGGAAGTGTCCAAGGCCAGCTTGGACAGAGCTTGGAGCACCCTGGGCTAGTGGAAGGTGTCCCTGCCATGGCAGGGGGTGGAACTGGATGGTTTTCAGGTCCCTTCCAAGCTGAACCAGTCCAAGATTCAGTGATTACAAGGCAGTGATGCTCTGTTACACCTGCAGGGGTGCATGGCTGAGCTTACAGCCACAGCTGCTGGTGTGGGACACACTGAGCAGGAACCCCAAACACCAGGCAAACACTTCTTGCCAAACTTGGATTTTACCCTAATTTATTTCTGTTTTTTAAATTTTTTATACCCCTTTTACAAAATACACTGAGCCAGTTAAAGCAAGAAGTGGCTGAAGACAACCTCAACCACCCCTTCTGTGTTTTTTCCCCCTTCTTTCCAAAACTGAAGTGCAAACAGCAGAGGACCCCTGATCCCACAGAACCCACAGGCTGCAGTGAGCCTCCCCCCACCCTTCTGCAGCACCCCATGGTGATCAGTGCCCTTACCTCAGCTCCACCTGAGCTCCTCGAGGGAGGTTTTTATCCTTTTAGAAACGTGCCAGCTCGGCTTAGCCAAACTTTGCCCCAGGCAGAGACTAACCAATGTTCACGTGAGTATCTCAGTGTGTTTTGTTCTGCTGTTTCCCCTTTTAGGTGACAGCGAGATTGTAAATAATATGTACGAGACCGACCCCGATCTCCTTGCTGGAGAAAGCGCAGAGGAGGAAACTGAGGACAGTATAATGTCCCCCATCCCTGTGGGACCTCCGTCACCCTTCCCCACCAGTGAGGACTTCACTCCCAAGGAGGGCTCACCCTATGAAGCTCCCGTCTACATTCCTGATGACATTCCAATCCCACCAGATTTTGAACTCAGAGAATCTTCGATCCCAGGGGCAGGGCTAGGGATTTGGGCCAAAAAGAAGATTGAAGTTGGGGAAAGATTTGGACCCTATATGGCAGTACAGAGGAGCACATTAAAGGAAACAAACTTTGGATGGGAGGTAAGCGTGTGGAATGTGGCCACCACATTCCTTTGTCTTCTCTGCCAAGTGTTCCTGGAGCTGGACTGAGGCCTGCTGGCCTGGGGATGGAGGTGGTGACTTTGCTGATGCCGTGTTTCCCTGAGTAACTCCCCCCCCCCGTTACCTGAAGGATTTAAAAATCAGCAGAAATCCCTTTTAAGTTCGCTTCTTGGGCCACAAAAACTGCTCGAGCACCGTTTTGGAAGTCTGCTTTTGAATGATGTCGGGTCACTTCATCAAGTGCTTGTCATTTCCAAATTGTGTTCGGGAGTTGTCGCGTGGAGGGAATGGGATTAATCGCATCATGTTTGGTGGTTGGGGTGTTACCTTTGACTCCCAGCCCGTGTCAGCAGTGCAGGCATTAATAACTGGGCAGGGAAAAATAGCATGTACCCATTAACAGCCCCCATGTTCTCGAGTTCTTGTGCTGCAGCAAAGATGGAGAAATGTGAAAGTCATTTTTCCCCGAGAACTGAACAAAAACCAGCCTTCAGCAGGAAAAAAGCTCTGTCCCACATCTCCCATCTTATCCTTCTCCCTGTTTTTCTGAGCTTGTCTCAGAAATCATCTTGGCCTCTTCTGCTCTTACAGTCTTGATTAGAGAATATCTAGATCCATAATTATCCTGGAATATTCATTAACAGTGAAGTGTGTCCTGGGATTTCTGCTCTGTGCTCACAGTCCTATCCCAGTGGCCATTATCCAATAGATAATTCCTTCTCTCTCCCCCAGTGCCCATCCCAACAATCCATCCCCTGCTGCCATGGGAGCTGCTGGCTCTTGTCCTGGGGAAGAGGCTGTGTCTGGGGCAGTGGGGGAAGAGAGGTTTCCTGGCAGGATTTTGCTGTAGCATAGGTGAAGCCTATCCCAATAAGTGGGGCTGAATTTTCCCTCATTTTTCCCTGGATGAACCAGTCTCTTGCCCCATTTTCTCCATCAGCCACTACTGGGGTGAACTGGTTCACAAAATCCTGGAGGATTTACAGGGTGGGAAGCAGCTGGGGGCTGGAACTGTAAGGTTTTCCCAGGCACCAGTGGAGAAAGCACCAGTGCAGTGACAGAACCCTCTTTTCTTAGAGGTCAGAAAGGCCAGGCTGAAGCATTAACAGTTTTAATTTTCTCTGATTATATTTGCACTCCTGATTGTGAAGTCAAAAATCAGTGAGCAGTGAGACCCAGTGAGGCCCAGAGAAGCAGGTCCAAATATTTTTGTTTTGTTTTACTTTTTCAATGTGTCTGAAGTGCAGGAAACAGCAAAAAGCTCCTGTTTTAACAAGAAAACTCAATTGTGTTTTGTTGTTCTGCAGTAGGAAGTGTCTGAAGAGCTAAAATCAGAGTTTGGTTGAATGACTGAGTGGAGAGTTTCCTTTTCCTTCCATCCTAGTGCACGGAAAAGAGGGTAATTCAGCTGAGTTTTGATCCCCTCTCTCCCCTCCAATGACATTCCTGGTGTTGGCTTCTATTGTGAATATCATTGCAGAATATTTGATTGGTAGTAGCGTATGAGCCTCAAAAAGTGAGGGTTTTGGGGGGGAAAATCCCTTTTATTTCACTGGCAATACATGGTCTGGTTCAAGGGGGGCTGTAGGTGTGAGAAGCTCGAGATTCCTAAGGAAGGTATTGATCACTTCCAGGTGCCTCTGAAAATAAGGATAATTTTCCTCTAGGACTATGCCAGATTAATTATTTGTAGGCTGCAATGTGAAAGATGAATCCTCTTTATTTTGACCCAGTTATTGATAGGTGGCATTTGTTGTTTCAATGTATATTTTTGTTTGCTATTTTGTTTAAAGGCTGATTTTTAGGAACAAAGTGCAATCCTCATGGGCTGGCAGAAATTGAGTGGTGGAAACCTTTTTTTTCTCTGACCTTGGCAAAACATTGTCCTTGCATTTCATAATTCTGATAAAAGTTGCTATTTACACTCATGATTTTCAGAAAGGTTCCTCACATCCCCACTGCTCTGATAGGAGCTGCGTTTATCAATTCCCGTTGACTTTGTGATACTGTTTGTTTTTGTAGTGTAATTGAGCAAACTTTCCCTCTCTGGGCACTTCTCCTGTTCCAGCGGCACTCCTTTGTCCCCTGCCGTGGCAGGGACATTTCACACCTCAAAGGAAGGGCTTTGTCCTCCCTCAGGTGTCCCCAGACCCACCCCAACACTCTCTGCTTGTCCTCACAGACACCTCTTGAATTTTCCCATTCTCCAGAGCATTTAAGGACATTTCAGGGCTCTGTTTCCAGAAAGGGCCTCCAGAATTTCATTTGGGAGCAACATCCATGAATCCCTTCACGTGCTGGCCAGGAATTCATTGAATAAGTTCTATCTGCTGGGTGCTGTTGTCTGAGCTCTTCCCTTGGGGTAGAAGGTTGGGAAAGCCCTGAAATATTCCAGGCAGCTCTACCTGGTGGCAAATTGGGAATTGGGAACTTGGAATGTTCTAGGCAGCTCTACCTGACGGCAAATTAGGAAATGGGAACTTGGGATGTTCTAGGCAGCTCTACCTGGTGGCAAATTGGGAATTGGGAACTTGGAATGTTCTAGGCAGCTCTACCTGATGGCAGATTGGGAAATGGGAATTTGGGATGTTCTAGGCAGCTCTACCTGATGGCAAATTGGGAAATTGGGAACTTGGGATGTCCAGGCAGCTCTACCTGATGGCAAATTAGGAACTTGGGATGTTCTAGGCAACTCTACCTGATGGCAAATTGGGAAATGGGGATTTGGGATGTTCTAGGCAGCTCTACCTGATGGCAAATTGGGAAATTGGGAACTTGGGATGTGTTTGCATCCTCTGCTCCTAAAACTGAGCAGGCAAGAAATGGGCAATGACTGGAAAAAAAGGAAAGGGGAGGAGTTTTTTCTCACCCAGTAACTTGTTGGCTTTTGCTTCAATGTGCTGTTTCTTTCCGTGGTGATAAACTCAACAAATCTGAGATTTGTAGGATCACCAGGAATGTTCCTTCTGCAGTTTAACATTGGTTTTTTGGTCAGTATTTCTCTGGAATATGGAGTTTTGTCATGCAGTGACTTGTGGGTTGAATGCTGGTGTAAGACTTCCACAAAACTCCTTGTTATGGCCAATTAGAACATATTCCATTTGAACTGTCTCTCATATTAGACATTTATTTCAGGAACGATGCCTGTTCTTCACACCCAACCTCTTCTCTATTCATATTTCTCAATTCATTTCCTGTAGTTTATAGTCTTGATAATCCCAATTTTTTGCACACCTCGCTCCCCAAACTCTGAAAACCTGGCCTTTGTGTTTGTTTGTTTGTTTTTAGGAGTCATCAGCTCCTTAATTTGAGCAGTGCTTCTGCCTTTGGCACGAGAAGTTCTCGCCTTTCACCACAGGAAATTTAGTGTCAGGCTTTGACTAAACTGGGAGGGAGATCACTGGAAGTGGAATTGGCTGCAAAGTGGTCATTCCTCAGCACCATCTCAGTTTTGCTTGAAAAAATTTTGTTGGCATACAGGACGTGCTTCATAATTAATGTCTGTTCCTTCTGATTTCTGCATTAAAAAAAAGAAAAATCTAATTACATTTTGGGGCTTGGAGAAGGTGCTGTTGAGGGCTTTGATGTGAGATTGGATCTTTCTCTTCTGCCCAAGGATTACCACTGCAGAAAAAGCTTTCTCTTTTCAAACTCCAGCAAGGAAAGATTTGTGAAAATGAAAATGGGCAGTGACTTGTATATCAAAATCTTCAGGAAATTGAGTTTGTGTTTGTTTCCATCTGAACTCCTCACAGGTGTAACTTGGTGTTACTTGCTGAAACTTCCAGCGTCACTCATTAATAGCCCAAACATCCATGGGAATGCAGAATGCTGTGTTTTATCTGCCATACCTTGAAAAAAGCTGCATAATTATCTTTATTATTGGCGTTTTTCCTTTCAGGCAGAGAGGAGGGCTGGGTGCTGATGGCTTGAACACGTGTCCTGCCTTATCTGCAGCACAGCCTCATATCTGGCCTCCTGCTTTGCTTTGTGGGATATGTTTTAAAAAAAAATATTCCTTGATTTAAACCACACCTATCACTCAAGGGCTTTTTTGGACATGGGATGGCAGCGAGTGATTCACTCTCATCTCATAAAAATAAATAAGATGTGTCAACCCTGGCCCCCAGCCCCTCCCAGGGATGATTCAGTGCAGGACCTGTTGGGTGCTTTCCCTCATTCCCTGACACTGCTGTGCTGATGGTGTCATTTCACCTTTTTTTTTTTTTTTTTGTGTGTGTGCCTTGAAAGACCCCACCTAAAAGCCCTGTGATTATTGAGTGTGACCTGATTGCATTTCTCCTGCTCCCATTGCCCTCCTGCCCGCTGACACCGAGCACAGCACTGCCAGCACCCTGAATAAATCATGGCATTTTTGTGCTTTATGGCCTCTGGGAGCCGAGGAAAATGAAAATAAAATAATTACATAATGATTTCCGTCAGCTTTGGGTAAATAATGGTATTTATCACGGCGCTGTTAATTTTCCTAATTGAGAGAAGAATGGGAATCTCATCTTGGGGGGAGATTTAGCACCTGGATTATGGGAGTCGTGATTTTAGCTCAGTTTGCTTCACAGGGTAAACACCACCAATAAATGCAGTTTGTTTTAATTTATATTTTAATTTATATTTTAAGAGAGGTTATTTGCTGAAGCACAAAGGCTTCTCTCACTGAAGTGTTAGAGCCAGGCTGCTCCTTTACACAGGAAAAATAAATAAATAAATAAATAAATGCTTTCATTTCCTACCTGGGGGGTGAGGTAGAGCCTGTCCCATAGAAGACAAATAAAAAATAGGAGCCAGCAGCTGAGGATGCAGCAGAGTTCTGGCTTCACATCTGGGCCAGAAAAAACTGCTGGGTTTTGAACACCCTTTAAAGTGTCACTGACTCACTGCAGCCCAACCTCCCAATTCCTCCAAAATTTAAATTTTTAGCAGGGGGTCTTTTTTATTTTCTTTGCTTTTTAGAAATACTTCCA